CGCTCGGCGCCGCCTTCGCCGCGGGGCGGCTGGGCGCCGCCGCCTCTGCCTCCTGAGCCCCGCCTGGGACGGGCGGCGCCGCGCTTACGGGGCCGCCGCCTGGCAGCAGGGTGCTACCCGCGGGCCTGGCCGCTGCCAGCAGCAGCGCCAGCAGCAGGTGGAGGGGCCGCCGCAGCAGCCTTTTGGTCGGCAGCGCGCTGTCGGGCCGCCTCGTCTGCCGCTCGGCTGTCGACGGCGGCCGCTGGGGGGGGCCCTGCACCAGGCGCAGCGCCTGCTGCTGGGGCGGCGGCAGCAGCAGGGGCGGCCGCCTGTCCTGCTGGCTGCGGCCGGGCGGCCGCGCCCCGCACGGGGGTACCAGCGGCCACGGCTGCTGCAGGCCCCTCCTCGGTGCGCTTGCGCTTCTTGGCCACCTCGTCCTCGATCTGGCGCTTAATGCGCTGCTGGTGCTCCTGGCAGTTGCGCTCGAACGTAGCCTGCGCCCCCTGCATGATCTGGAGCCCCTCGTCACAGAGGCGCCTGAGGGTGGCCTGCGCCTCCTCCTCCAGCTCCGCGAAGTTCTCGAATGACTCCGCGTCGAAGTTGAAGGTGAGCTGCCTCGCTCCATCGGGCTGGGCGCCCACGACACCAGCCGCTTGGGCTCGCTGGCGGAGGAGGGCGTTCTCCTCCTCTTTGGCCTCTGCGAGGTTGACCGCCGCCTCGTCGCGCCAGCCTCGGCACAGAGCGAGGTGGTCCTCCGCCGCCACGAGCGCGTCCGCCGCCTCGTCGAGCTGGCGCTGGAGGTGGATCCGCTTCGCCGTGGCCGACTGCAGCCTCTGCTCGAGCGGCTTCGGAGCTGGGGCGACCGCGGGCGCGACGCAGCCCCGCGCGTCACGGACTGCCTCCTGCAGCCTGGCCGCGATGGCGGGGTCCCCGCAGGCGAGGAGCGCTTCGAGCTCGCTCTCGGGGGGGGCCGACCAGGGGGCCTTAGGGAAGGCGCCTCCGCCACGGCCACCCGCGCCCCCGCCGCCGCCACGGGAGGCTGCACCACCACCGCCGCCACGGGAGGCTCCTCCACGGCCCTTGCCGCCCTTGCCGCCCTTGGCGCCATACTTCGGTGGGCCTCCGCTGCCGCCTCCTCGCAGTGCGGGTTGGGAGCCGCCGCCGCCGCCGTCCGCCCAGACCCCGACGCGGGGCGAAGGCTTCGAGGGCGCCAGCTCCAGCCCGATCCCGCACAGCCAGCACTTCGCATACCTGCGGAAGTTCCAGCGGAAACGGCAGCCCGTGCACACGACGAAGCCAGGCTCGGCCTTCGGCCCCATCGCCGGAACGGGCGGGCGCGCTGCTCAGCCGCGGGCGTGCAGCAGGCAGGTGCCGACGGGGGCGGACCCGCCGACACAGAAGAAGCCGTGACCCGCAGGTCCAGGGTGCTGCAGTGGCAGCTCACACTCGTTGGAAAGGAAGGTAGCCTCAAAACAGAACCTCCCTCGCGCTTAGTCGCCCCGAAAGACTCGCGGTCGTCGGGACGGTTCATTGCCTTGAGCCAAAATGGCTACGGACCACGGCGGGAGCATTGGGTACGGAAGCACTGGATGAGGAACCCAGGGTCTGTAAGCCCATGGAGCTCCGATTGAAGCTCGGATGAAACCACCACCGCCCTCGTCACATAAGGAATCCTACAGGGCGTGCAACCTCCTGGGCACATTCCGTAACCAACGCTACTACTGTGCCTTCCTGGCGCAGTGTGCCGCGGCAAACGTGCGCGCACGGAGCCGTGTGCTGCATCAGCGGAGAACGAAGGAGGCCCAGATCGAAAGAAGAAGAAGAAGAAGAACAGGAACGAGGGGAGTAGATTGGCTCAAATTCTGGCACAACTGGGTACAGGAAAAATGGGTACGATGCCCAGCGGCAATCGTTCCCCAAAACCGATGGCGGCAGCTGTTGGGAAGGCGACTTTGTTTTTCGTGCCGACGAGACTGGTGCGGCAGTTCGCGGAACCCTCCTGGATTCTTCCAGAGGAAGGTTTTTGGAAGGTTTTGCCCGGGCTCCAGGGGAGGGGGGGGCGAGGAAGGCTTTTGTAAGGTTTTTTCCACAACCTCCCAAAAACCATCCAAAAACCTGTCCCAACAAAAACCTCCCCAAAACCTTCCAACATCTTCCAAAAAAGCGCTCGACAACCTCCCAAAGACCTTCCAAAATCGAACGCGCTCGCCCAATACTTTCCAAAATCCGTCCTAAAACCTTCAACACGCCATGCAAAAACCGCCCCGGCCCTGGCCTCGGCCCTGGTCCCAGCTCAGGGATCTTCTGACCCGGGTCAATCCAGACCCGGGTCAGCAGGAAACCAAAAACTGCAATGCAGGAAAAAAAAACTGCAACGCAGATCTTCGCAAACCCAGGTCAGCCAATATGCGAAGCCGCCTCGCGGCCACGAGCGGCTCGCTAACCCGGGTCAGCCAGACGGGGTCTTCGCAGGATCCTGCAGGATCTGGCGCCCTGGCTGACCCCCGTTTGCATTGACCCCCGTCTCAAGGCTCCCGACCAGCCCCGGGCGGGCCAGGCTCCGGTCCAGGTCCAGGCTCCAAGCTCCCAGCCTCGCACCCTGGCCTCCGCCCCTCGTTCCGATCCGTGCGCCCCAGCCCGCCCCGATCCCAGCCCCGGCTCTAGCCTTCCTCGGGAGGGCTTCCTGGACGAGCCCTCCTAGGAACCTCCCTAAAACCTGTCTCGGGAAGGATGTTTGGGAGAACCTGCCTAAAATCTTCCTGAAGCCTTCCTCAGGAAGGTCTTTTGGAAGAACCTTCCCAGGAACCTTCCTAAAACCTTCCTCAAAAGGGCTTTGCTTGGAAGATCCGCATTGGAAAACCTTACTAAGACCGTCGTCAGGAGGGTGATGTTTGAAGAACCTTCATAGCAAAAACCCTTCCTCGGAAGCGTTTTGTTGCAAGCACCTTCCTAAAGCCTTCCTAGACCTTCCCAAGGAGGGCCTGTTGGAAGAACATTCATAGAAAAAGCCTCCCTGAAACTTTCCTTGGGGAGCTTTTTGGGGAAGAACCTTCCAACAACATTCCGAAAACCTTCCTCAGGAAGGTTTTGTCTAGGCGGACCTTCCAAAACAACCCCCCTTAAAACCTTCTTCAAGATGGTTTTTGTTTGAAGAACGTTCCTGAAAACCTCCCCGAAACCTTCCTCAGAAACGCTTGTTGGAAGAACCTCCCTAAACCCTTCCTAAACCCTTCCTCAGCAAGGCTTTCTTGAAAAGCCTTCCCAAAAAAAACCTGTCTAGAACCTGCCTCGGGAAGGCTGAGATGGAAGAACATTCCTAGAATCCTTCCTAAAACCTTCCTCAGGAGAGTGTTGCTTGGAAGATCATTCCTAAAAAACTCCCCAAAACCTTCCTCGGGAAGGCTGTTTGGATGAACCTTCCTAAAATATTCCTAAACCTTTCTCGGGAGAGGTTGTTGGAAGAACCTTCACAAAAACCTGCCTAGAACCTTCCTCAAGAAAGCTTGTTGGAAGAACCTTCCTAAAGCCTTCCTAAAACCTTCCTCAGGAAGGTCTGTTTGGAAGAACCTTCCTAAAAAACCATCCTAAAACCTTACTCAAAAGGTCATTGTGGAAGAACCTTCCAAAACAACCTTCGTAAAACCTTCCTAAGACCCTCGTTGGAAGAACCTTCCAAAAACCTTCCTAAAACCTTCCTCAGGAGAGCTTGTTTGGAAGAACCTTCTGAAAAACCTTCCTGAAACTTTCCTCTGGAAGGTTGTTCGCCTTCCTAAAACGTTCCTCAGGAAGGTTTCAGGAGGGCTTGGCCGAACTGCCGCACCCAACTGCTGGCGGTCTTCGCCAACACTCTCTCCGCCCCGTTGTCGATCCTCCAGAAGACTTGGGCCCCCCCGTGAAGCGGCGACACCCAGCGACCAGTTTGCAACACCCTCCGATCAACAAGAGAAAGAAGACGCCGCCACAACAAAATCGGCCGACCCCGACCCGCTGGGATAAACTTCCGGCTCCAGAGCGTCAGCGTCGTCGTCGTCGTCGTCGCCGCCGTCGTCGTCATCGTCGTCATCGTCGTCGCCGCCGTCGTCGCCGTCGTCGTCGTCACCCTTCAGGGTCGGCGGCACCGGCCGCAAGGCCTTCGCAATGCGGACCTCGACACCTGGCGGCCACCCTGCCCGCGGCAGCGCACAGAAAACTCTCCGAGCCGCACGCCTCTCGGCCAGCCGCCTCTGCAGAGCGCCGCCCCCGAAGGGAGCCCGTCGAGCCCCCAGCGTGGTTCGCCCCCTCCTTCTCCCTCTCCTCCTCCGCCTCCTGCTCCTGCTCCTCCTCCTCCTCCTCCTCCTCCTCCCCCTCCTCTTCCTCCTCCTGATCCGCCTCCTCCTCCTCCTCCTCCCCCTCCTCTTCCTCGTCCTCCTCCTCCTCGTCCTCCTCCTCCTCCTCCTCCTCCTCCTCCTCCTCTGCCTCCTGCTCCTCGCAGCGCGCAGCACGCTCTGCCGCCGCAAACCTCCCCGAGGCTGCCGCCCGAGGAGCTGCCGCACGGTTCCGCCCGGGGTGCGGATGCTGCTCGCCCTTGGCGGCGCCCACAACGGGGTGGCGCGAGGGGGGCGGATTTGGCGGCACCCGCAACGGGGTGGTGTTCGCCCCTGGCGGCGCCCACAACGGGCGGCGCCCACACGGGGCTAGGAGGGCAGAAGGCAGGAGGCCTACTCAGAAGGCCCAGGAGACTCTTGAGAAGGCCTCTTAAATCAAGGCGGGTTCACAAGAAGCAACCCTCCTGTATTGGAAGCCCCGCCGCCCTCTTAGACGGCCGCCCTCTCGCGCCAACGCCGCCAGCACCCTCCTCAGGAAACGCTAAAACCTCCTCCTCCTCCTCCTCCTCATCATCATCATCATCCTCCTCCCCCGCTCCTAACATCATACTCCTGCTCCTAACCTCTTCACTGTTGCATCCCAAGCGCAGCTACTCCTCTTAACCTCCTGCTTCTAACCTCCTGATCCTGATCTCATCCTCCTCAAAGAGGTGGGGCCTGTGGAAGACGAAGTAGCCGTAGTGGAACGCCCCGGGCCGCAGCGGCCCGCCGTCCGCCATGGCCTTCGCCAGGGACGACAGCGTCACCACCGCAGGCTCGAGGGCACCGTGCCGTCCTTCGGGGCAGGCAAGCAGGTATAGCTGCAGTTCCTCCGCCTCCACCTCCTCCTCCGCCTCCTCCATTCCTGCTCCGTATCAAAAACGTCTCCCTGTCGCACCCCGAATCAAGTCTTTAGGGCGGGCCGGGCGGTTCGCCTGAGACTTCCTCGTCATTTATGACTCTGAAGCTTACAAGTTGGCAACAGCTTCACAGATGGAGCGCGGGTCGTTTTTTTAATGTGGCTCTCGCCTTTGCGCCGTGCACATCTGTCTTAAAACATTGCAAGAGATTCACGGATTGAGGGCGAGCCATTCTCAAAATGTGGCTCTCGCCTTTGCGCCGCGCACATTCGTTTTAAAACATTACAAGAGATTCATGGATTGAGGGCGAGTAGTTTTCAAAAAGTGGCTCTCGCCTGAGCGCCGCGCACATTCGCCTTGAAAAATTGCAAGAGCTCCACGGATTGAGGCCGGCTCCTTTTAAAAATGTGGCTCTCGCCTTAGCGCCGCACAGTGGGACAGTGATGGGAACAGTGGGGACGGTGGGACAGCACAGTGGGACAGCGGCGGGGGCAGTGAGACAGTGGTGGACACAGTGGGGACAGTGGGACAGTGGTGGGGACCGTGGGGAAAGTGGGGAGAGCGGGACCTTGGTGGGACAATGGTGGGGAGAGTGGGGACAGTGTGACAGTGGTGCGGACAGTGGTGAGGACAGCGGGGACAATGGTGGGAACAGTAAGGACAGTGGGACAGGGGCGCGCCTCCCCCACGCCAGTTTGTTCAAGTCCTGAGCAAACACTACAAATGGCTACGGCCCTCCTCCTCCTCCTCTCCCTCCTCCCTCCGCCCTCCTCCCTCCTCCCTCCTCCCTCCCCTCCCTCTCCCTCCTCCCTCCTCCCTCCTCCCTCCTCCTCCTCCTCCCTACTCCTCCTCCTCCTCCTCCTCCTCCTCCTCCTCCTCCTCCTCGGCCTCCTCCTCCTCCTCCGCAACCTCCTCCTCCTCCGCAACCTCCCCCTCCGCAACCTCCACCTTCAACGTCTGCGCTCCTCTGCGGCGCCCGCTGGAAGCAGCCGTGTTCTTCGGGGAGGGAGCTGCCAGGAGCGGCGTGTTCAGGCACTCGCTGAAGCCCTGGGGGTCCACCTGCTCGAACCGGTGGAACACCTCTGCGGCAATGTCGGGGACATTGGCCGCCGGATTCAAAGAATGCTCTGAAGGTTCGGGGCACGACCAATTCAAGCCTCGTGAGCTGTGCGGGTGGTTCCTGCAATCGTGGACAGCGTGCCGCAAGATGCGCCAGCCGCACTGGGCAACAGGCTGAGGAGCTGCCTCTACCTTGTTGGATTACACACGACAACGCGTTCTAGCCTTCGCAGTTCAACGAGAAATCCCCACAAAATACTAAAACTAGACCCCGCTGAACAGAATGGATGCCACCACCTGGCCGTGTGATTTCAGGCACTTCCTGATTCCCGTCTTCTTCATCCACTCTCTCTCTCTCTCTTTCTCTCTCTCTGCCTCGACTTCATCATTTTGATGGTGGTTCTGCTTCGTGCCCTGTCCTTACGACTAAGGCGTTCAGTTTCATGTCACAGTTTGGTTTCAGATTACTCCAGCTCCGTCTCTTGCTTACGCGGTATCTCCTTGATTGCACACGTCTGTATACCATCATATATCCGCCGACCCCCGCCTGCCAGAGGTGAGAAGGCGTGTGAGATGATAATGATTGGCTGTCGCCCCTCCCCCGTTACCCCCTCCCCTGGGGCCAAAAATCGCGTAAGAGGAGGGGGCGGCCGGGGAGGGGCCCAGGGGAGGGATCCGAACAGGGGGGACGAGCCTTCCGGAGCCTACATGGAGCCCTAAGACGGCCGAGTCAACGCCGAGACTATCCAAGAGAGCGTCGAGACGGCCCAAGGTAAAGCCACAACGGTCCAAAATGGCTTCAAGACGGCCTACGAGGCCCCCAAGACGGCCCAAGATGAGTCATGCTCGTCGGAAAACGTATATTTTCGACATACAAGCATTTTTCGTAGCGACAGCGTCCACTACAGCCCAAGGAACCCCAAAAATCGTCACAAGACGGCCCATGAGGCCCCCAAGAGGGCCCCGATAAGGCCCCAAGACAGCCCAACAGAGCCCAAAAGGCACCAAGAGGGCCCCAAGACGGCCCCAGGGGCCCATAAGACGGCCCAAGAGCGCCCGAAGAAGGACAATACAACTGACATCTCGAGTCGTTACCGCCGCGATGGCCCCAAGAGCCCCCCAGCGATCCCCGAGGCACCCCCAAGAGACCCCAAGAGGCACCCAAGAGGCCCCCGAGAGGCCCCAAAAAGCCAATCAGATACGAGGGCTGGCAGGATGGCTCAAGCCCTTGGATCATCTCTCTCTCTCTCTCTCTTTCCATATGTATATATATATATGTGGATATGAGAATGCAGATGTTCACATGTATATACACACGTACATATTTATCCGACCACCCTTCGGGTGAGAAGGAGGTTCGGGGGGGGAGGAGCCAGCGTCTCACTCGATCGGTCTCACTATCGATTTCACTATCGATCTCACGATCGGTCTCGCTCGATCAATCTCACTATATCGATCTCACAATCGATCTCACTCGATCTATTTCATTCGATCGATATCACAATCGAGCTGATTATTGATCTCACAATCGATCTCACTATCGATCTCACTATCGGTCTCACAATCGATCTCACATTCGGTCTCACTATCGATCTATCGATATCACAATCGATATCACAGTCAACGTCATCATCATCATCATGAACAACATCATCGTCACCAACGTCATCAACATCATGATCATCATCATCATCATCATCATCATCATCATCATCATCATCATCATCATCATCATCATCATCATCGGGACACCATCATCATCACCTCATCACCATCATCATCAACACCATCAGCATCACCATCATCATCGGGACACCATCATCGTCACCATCATCGTCAACACCATCATCATCATCGGGAGACCATCATCATCGTCATCATCGGGACACCATCACCATCAGCAACATCATCATCATCAACATCATCATCATCGGGACACCATCATCATCAACCTCATCATCGTCATCATCATCATCATCACATCATCATCGGGACACCATCATCATCATCATCAACAGCACCATCATCATCATCACCATCATCGGGCCACCATCATCAAAATCGGAATCATCACCTCATCACCCTCATCATCAACATCATCATCATCGGGACATCATCATCATCACCATCATCATCAACAGCATCATTATCAACCTCATCATCATCGGGACACCATCATCATCACCTGCATCATCATCATCATCTCATCATCATCTCATCATCATAAATTGCATCATGATCATCAACATCATCATCATCATCGGGACACCATAATCATCATCATCATCATCATCATCATCATCATCATCATCATCATCATCATCATCATCATCATCATCATCATGATTAGCAACATCATCATCATCAACATCATCATCGGGACACGATCATCATCACCACCATCACCATCATCATCATCAACATCATCAACACCATCACCATCATCGGGACACCATCATCATCACCACCATCACCATCATCATCATCATCAACACCATCATGAACAACATCATCATCATCATCATCATCATCATCATCATCATCATCATCATCATCATCATCATCATCATCATCATCGGGACACCGACGGGACACTGGCGGGACACCGGCGGGACACCGCGCGCCACCGGCCCCCGGTCAGGAATCATTCGGTCCAGCCGCGCCTCAACCGGAGGCGGGGCACACGCGGGGCGTACTATCGGGCCCCTATCGTTGTGGATGCCACGACACAGGACACTCTAACAATCCGATCATTGAATTGAAAAGGTGTCTAAAATGTGTAAAACATGTTCTAAAAACGTTTCAAACATGTTTTTACATATTTAAAGCATGTTTGAAACATGCTTTAGACATCTGGAGAATATTTGGCAGCATGCTTCCTCTCCATTAATCGACTTCCACAAACCTATCGGCGATCATTGGGCGACTGGGGGTCAATGCGCTCCCCTCCTGAGCCCACCACCACCCCACAACGCCGCATTGCCTCGGAGGAGGCCGTCTAGGTCCCGCCTGCGCGTTGCGCGCAGGCGTGCGCAAACCATTTCGCGTGCTGTCCTCTGGGCCCTGGTCACGCGCTGCGTGCGAGGGTGAACAGTTTCGTGGGTTCGGCCAGACGGTCCCGCTCATGCGCCGCGCGCGAGGTGCGCAGATGATTGCGTGCGGCCAGAGGGTCTGGCCGTGCGCTGCGCTGCGAGGGTCTGCGCTTTCTTGGATGCGTGCATTGAGCCCCGCCCATGCGTTGAACGCAAGGGTGCGCAAACGTCTGACCGCGAGGTCCAGCCCATGCGCTGTGTGCGAGGGTGCACTGAATTGCGCGTGCGACCGGGGGGACCCCCCCCCTTGCGTTGTGCACACACTCAAAAGACACACACACACACACAACGGCCGCCAACACTGGTCCACGCCACGTCTGACGACACTCTCTGCGCATTTCCCTGTTTTGACCACCAAAGTACTCGGCACATGGCAACAGACTTCGAGCTGGCGGCCGCCCAGAGGACACCACACGGTGCCGCACCGCACAGCACTGGCCAAATCCTATCTGAACTCGCGGCCATCCATACGACTCCAAGCAACACCACACATCCCCACATGACATGGCCCAGGGCAACAAAGTTTGAGCTAACCACTAACCCATGGAACCATGCACCACCACATGGCCCTACACTACACAACCGAATACCGAACTCACAGCAAGCCAGATTCCTCGACCGTGCAGCTCTGTGACAGCGAGAGAATAGGCAGCATCTAACCAACCCCGCTACAAAACTACCATGACTGAGCATGACCTTAGTGACGACAACCAACACAGCGGCACATGGTCAACCCCCGTAGCAATCGGCGGGCCTAGGAATATCCCTCCTTCATCTTTGAAGGCAAACGGATAACTTCGCTCAGTTCGCAATCAGCAATCAGTTGCGTGAGTGAGGGAAAGATCAGAGAGCCAACCCCACCCGAGATCCGTGAGATGAAGACGACAGAATGATCTCCTCGGAGGCGAAGAGAACCCCAGTGCCCTGAGGCGAAGAGGATCTTAGCGTCAACACCTAAGCCGATTGGGCAGCGGATCAGGAGAGGAAGGAGGTGAGAGAGGGTAATTACCCATGTTGGTTGGCGTCGGGGCCTCGCGCGCGGCGGCGCGGCGTAGAGAGTCGGGCGGAGAGACGCGCGCGGCTGGCCCAGGTCACACGGCGTGGGGACCCTGGATCCGCCCGTAAGGGATCGACGGGGTCACCTGCGGGGGGGGGAGGGTACACCCTTTTTGGCGGTCGCGGCCTCGCGCGCAACGTCGAGGCGGAGCAAGATCGGAGCCCGTGCGCGCGCGGCCGGTCCCTCAGGCGAATCGCTTGCGAGGGTACACACCCGGTGCGCGCGCAGCTGGGGACACACACATCAACACACATCAACACACACACACACACACACACACATCAACACGTGCATCGCGGGGAACGCCTGCTGCCAGCCTCTCCGGCTCTCCGCGCCCATGCCGAGCCAGTTGACGCACTGCTCGCGCTCGCTCTCGAGGGCCGACCACTCCCAGGCCTGGAGGGGGAGGGCGCAGGCGGGACGCAGCGGGGCGACGTCAGGGGGGGAGAGAGGATCGAGGAGGGGGGAGGAGAGAGAGGAGGGGAGAGAGAGGGGGGATGGGCAAAATTGGTGTGAAAGGCGCCGCCACGTCTGGCATCATGCCCCTCCTTCCCATCCCTCGCCCATGGAGTTGAGCCACATCATATTCGCAGAGACGAGAGCCGAAGAAGGCATGAGCCCCGAAAGGCCAATTGTGTCCAAGAGGGCCCCGCAGATCAAGAGATGGCAGGGGCATGAACAGAATGAGAAACAACAAATTATCCCAGAGCGACCCTACCTAGGAGTTGGAGCCCCGAGGAGAGCAATATTAGTAGTAACGGTAAACGCCGTCCTCCTTCTTCTCATCGTCGCAGTTGTAGCAGTAGCGGTAGTAGTAGTAGTAGTAGTAGTAGTAGTAGTAGTAGTAGTAGTAGTAGTAGTAGTAGTAGTAGTAGTAGTAGTAGTAGTAGTAGTAGTAGTAGTAGTAGTAGTAGTAGTAGTAGTAGTAGTAGTAGTAGTAGTAGTAGTAGTAGTAGTAGTAGTAGTAGTAGTAGTAGTAGTAGTAGTAGTAGTAGTAGTAGTAGTAGTAGTAGTAGTAGTAGTAGTAGTAGTAGAGTAGTAGTAGTAGTAGTAGTAGTAGGTAGTAGGAGTAGGAGTAGGAGTAGGAGTAGGAGTAGTATAGTAGTAGAGTAGTAGTAGTAGTAGTAGTAGTAGTAGTAGTAGTAGTAGTAGTAGTAGTAGTAGTAGTAGTAGTAGTAGTTAGTAGTAGTAGTAGTAGTAGTAGTAGTAGTAGTAGTAGTAGTAGTAGTAGTAGTAGTAGTAGTAGTAGTAGTAGTAGTAAGTAGTAGTAGTAGTAGTAGTAGTAGTAGTAGTAGTAGTAGTAGTCGTAGTAGTAGTAGTAGTAGTAGTAGTAGTAGTAGTAGTAGTAGTAGTAGTAGTAGTAGTAGTAGTAGTAGTAGTAGTAGTAGTAGTAGTAGTAGTAGTAGTAGTAGTAGTAGTAGTAGTAGTAGTAGTAGTAGTAGTAGTAGTAGTAGTAGTAGTAGTAGTAGTAGTAGTAGTAGTAGTAGTAGTAGTAGTAGTAGTAGTAGTAGTACAGCTTAATACCTACATCTACATATGGACCTACATCCACATCTACACCTACAGCTACATCTACATGTACACATGTATCGACATCTACATATACATATACAACTACACTCACATCTACATCTACATCTATATCTACAGGTACATCTACATGTACATATGCATCTACACCTGCTGCGCTGCGCTAAGCTAAGCTAAGCTGAGTTAAGCTAAGCTAAGCTAAGCTAAGCTAAGCTATGCTGGGCTATGCTATGATATGATAAGCTAAACTAAGCTAAGTTAAGCTAAGCTAAGCTAAGTTAAGCTACACCTACGCGAAGTTAAGATGAAGCTCAGCTAAGCTAAGTTAAGCTAAACTAAGATGAGCTACGCAAAGCTAAGGTAAGGGGGCGCAACTGGGGGAACCGCGGGGCGGGACTGGGGGAACCGCCCCGGGCGGGCAACACTGCCCAGCCCCTTTAAGCAAAGAGAGTAAGAACCCTTCTAGGCAGAGCCTAGGTAGGAAAATAAACATAAACTTTCGGAGGTCCGCGCGGATGTCTTGGATCGGCGCCACAGGCACCACCAGGGGAGCCCAGCTCCGATCATAGATCATAAAGATCCGCGAGGACCTCAGAAAGTTTACGCTTATCCAGTTTTTTCTTCTTCGAGGGGGCCCAGGCCATCGGGACGTCTCTGGGGGGCTCGGGTCTCAAGGATCCAGGGTCGAGGCGCTTGGGCGCCAGAGCTTGCCTCGCCGAGGCAGGAGCGCGGCCAGCGCTGCAGCGAGAACGTCGCTCCGTTGGGCGGAAGCCCCCATGGAAAGTCTGGCGCGTGGCAAACGTTTCGACCAGAGTATCACGATCGTCAACGCAAGAATGCGGCCAGCGCTGCGACGAGAGCGACGTTCCGTTGAACGGAGGCTCTGTGGAAATCCGTGGATGCGGTCAACGCTGCAGCCAGAGCATAGCTTCTGAAGAGCCAAGAACGTTCAGATCGGAAACATAGCTGTGTGGATCGAAATACAAGGGATAGACGGGGGCAAATAAAAAATCTTATGAGGGAAGTACCGATACTGTGAAATTGAAAGAGCTGGGGATCAAGAATGAGGAGTAGGGGCGGGTAAGCCTGGCCTCAGTGGACATCAGGTCCAAAGCAGACTGGAGGAGAAGAGGCCGACAAGCCTGGCACCGGCGGATACCCAACCGACAGCGGATCAGCTTTCAGAGAAGGAGGAGGAGGAAGAGGAAGAGGGGAGCAGGGTGACGGGGGGGAAGGTATGACAAGCTAGGTGCGCTCGCGCCATATCTGCCATCCAACCCCTCCCACACATTCCTTTCCATTGCGCTGATCTTTGCTCTATCCGCCAACGCATGTCCAAACGGACCTGGAACTCCAAAAAGTGCCCCAACGAGCACGCGCAACTGGCAGAAGGGGAGCGGTGTACATTGAATGAGGAGGTGGCGGATGAGCAGGAGGATGAGCTGGAGGATAAGGAGGAGGATAAGGAGGAGGAAGGAGGGAGACGAGGACGAACAGCAGCAGCCAGAGCTGGAGTTGAAGGAGGAGGATGAGGAGGAGGAGGAGGGCGAGGAGGAGGGGAAGGAAGTGTGAAGGGGGAGGCCTTCTCAGAAGTCGGCGGGGCTTCTCAGAAGCCCTCCAGCCTTCTGAGAAATGTTCTGTCTCTGTGGAAAGCTTAGAGAACTTCTCAGAAGACTGGAGGACGTCCGAGCCTTCCGAGGAGGCCCGCCCCATCTCACTTCCCCGCGGGGCTGGCCGCCGAGAGGAGAAAGGGAGGGGGAAACAGGAGCAGTGGAAGGAGTGAAAAGGAGGGACGAAGCAAAGAAGAAAGATGAATAGAAAAGGGGAGGAGGAGGAGGAGGAGGAGGAGGAGGAGGAGGAGGAGGCGGAGGAGGCGGAGGAGCGACAACGACGACGACGACAACAACGACGACGACGACGACGAAAACTGCGACAGGAACAGCAATAGCAGCATCTTCGGCTCTAGCCGTCTTGGATCAAGCCATGCAGTGCGCTCGAGCAGCCGTGTCTGAGTATCTGCGGACCTGTTGAGGCATGGCCGAGGCTCGATGGGATGCCATGGCGCCCAGACTCGACCACTGGATGAGGCTGGCACACTTCCGGCGCGTTTGTCCCCTGGGTCTAAGAGTCTTGGCGGACTGCTCTTTCTCTTCCCCACCCTCCTCATCATCCTGCTCCTCCCCAGTTCAGCCTCACCCTCCCCCTCCGACACTGAAACACCATCTGCGTGTCGGACTCGGCGGACGAACGAATCGGTCGTAGTGAGCGCTGGGACACAGTTAAGCGAACTGCGCACAGTGAAGCCCGATGAGCGGCAACAGGAGCGGCCGCGGAGAAAGGGAGGGAAAGACACAGCGACACAGGCAGCCTGGCAGTCGAGCACGGCGAAGGCCCAACAGCAGATACGGCCAAGAACAGCCAGACTAGAGGGAGAAGACGAGCTGGGGGACAGGCAGAGCAGGCAGTTCGGCTTCCATCGGTAAAGCGTCCCAAGCGGATCTGGCTGCTCTACACGTGGGGAGTTGAAACACCCCTCCTCCTCCTCCTCCTCCTCATCCTCCTCCTCCTCCTCCTCCTCCTCCTCCTCTTCCTCCTCCTCTTCCTCCATCCTCCTCCTCCTCCTTCTCCTCCTCCTCCTCCTCATTATCATCATCAGCATCAGCATATTCATCAGCATCAGCACCAGCATCATCATCATCATCAGCATCATCATCATCATCCTCATCCTCATCCTCATCCTCACCTTCTTCTTCTTCTTCAGCATCATCATCAGCATCATCATCATCGGCATCAGCATCAGCATCATCACCATCATCATCATGAACATCATAATCATCATCATCATCATCATCATCATCATCATCATCATGATCATCAGCATCATCAACATCATCACTTTCATCATGATCAGCATCATCATCATCAACATCATCACCATCATCATCATCACCATCATCATCACCACCATATCTCCCTGGTTAAACCTGTTCCTCCTTCTCCTCCACCTCCCCCTGGCCTCCTCCTCATCCCCCTCCTCCTCCCCCTCCTCCCCCTCCTCCCCCCCTCTGCTCCTCCTCCTCCTCCTCCTCCTCCTCCTCCTCCTCTTCCTCCTCCTCCTCCTCCTCCTCCTCCTCCTCCTCATCCTCCTCCTCCTCATCATCATCCTCATCCTCATCCTCATCCTCATCCTCATCCTCATCCTCTTTCTCCTGAACCTCCTCCGCCTCCCCCAACGCCTCCTCTCCCCCCTCCTCCTCCTCCTCCTCCTACTACTCCTCCTCCTCCTCCTCTTCCTCCTCATCCTCCTCCTCCTCATCATCATCATCAGCACCACCATCATCATCATCATCACCATCATCATCATCGTCATCATCATCATCAGCAGCATCATCATCATTTTTCCTCGACGCCAGGGCTAAAAGAAAAGGAAATGTTTTGTTGCATCGCCAGGGCTAAAAAGTTTCATGGCCCGTCGCAGAGAGACGAAACTCTCGGTGGACCCCGCACGGGGCGACACTCTCTGGGCGCTTCACAGGGGAACGGCATGCCAGCGAGTGGGGGATTACAGCTGCTGCATAATCTCGACTGTTTCTTCCTCTGCGGCGAAATCTGCCTCATCGAGAGGGCCTGAATTGAAAGATTGTAGCTGTGTGTCAGGCGCCGGTCTGCCCACAACTGGGGGTGGCAGGCGGCAAACCTGGCGTAGGCCTAGTTATCTCAGATGGGGATGAAGACAGAGGGCGGGAGGTGATTGTTCCAGGTATGACTTCACCTCTTACGAAATGTATTCGTGGTCGAGCGTCTCCAACCAGTGTCCGACTTCGTCCTCGAGCCAGCCCGCTGGCGCTACTCCATGATGGCGTGTGACCGTGCCCTCTGAACGGAAAGCTATCGTAAGCAACTTCCTGCCCCCCCACTCGGGAGCTCCAATGATAAGTTTTATTTTCTCCGTGTCGTAGCAGTTCTCGAGCCGTATGAAGCTGATCTCCTCGGCGAGATCGTCCTTCCTGATTTCTGGATCCATATTCTCGTCGGGGGTTCGCCTTCTTCAAGTATTCCTCGATCTCGCTGCGCAGCGCCCCCCCCCCCCCCCCCGATGTCGCAGCTGAGTACTCCTTTCAGGGCCGCAAAGCCTAGGCTGGGCGCGGGGGAACCTATCTCATTCAACTTATTTTTGTCCTCCGCGGATCCGTGGCGTAGGTGGCCCAAGTGGTTCTTGTACACGTGTAGGTGTCCGTCGTCACTGAACTGTTGAATCTCGTGCCACGAGCCGTTTGGAGTACCAGCTTCAGCGTCGACTTCAGTAGCGACAAAGAGCTGCTTGTCTTTGCTCGTCCACTTCTTCTCCGAATGGTCGCCTCGCCTCGTCCTCCGTCCTCCGCGGCGCTGCTTGCGCCGAGGAGCTGCCTCGGCCTCCCCCCCGTCCTCGGCGTCCATCTCGCGGCCTTGGTGGGGGGGGGCCTGGTAGCTTGGGCTTTGCTGACGGCGGCTGTCCTGTTTTGGATACGTTGCCAGATCCCTGTGAGTCCTTCAAGGAGTCCAGGGGGAGGCGCCAAGGTGTTCGTGCTGGTCCCTTGTCTTTGCTGTTGGCTGCCGCTTCCGCCCGTCACTGTAGGTCGTCGTGATTGAAGTCGCACTCGATGTCTGCGTACAGACACAGGTAGCGCAGGGTCAGCACTTCGCCGTAGTAGATGGTCTGTGGCTCGTCGTAGTTGCCGTCGAGCGGCCGATGTATCGCGCACTGCACGGAGTGGTCTGCTGACTGGATGTGCGAGTGGCGGAGGTGGGGGACTCCTCCTGGCGATACGGCCAGAGGCCCTCTGGCCTCGCGTCTGAAAACAACCTTGAGCCGTGAACCACATGGCGGCACAGGAAGGTGGGTATACACATGTGCTCGTAGCTTTTCTGAATCCATATAATCATAGTGACATGCGGGATCCAGATCGAATCACATAGGGGACACGTCGTCGTCATAGCTGCCTTCCATGGGTATTCATCATCATCATCATCATCATCATCATCATCATCATCATCATCATCATCATCATCATCATCATCACCATCATCGTCATCATCATCATCACCAGCATCACCATCATCAGCATCATCTTCCTCTCAGGCCGCTTGGGCTCGAGCACCTGTGTCAAGCCCAAGTAACCCCCAGAAAGGTCTTTGATAAACCCCCGCTTAGAATGGAAATGCATGCTTTGTTGCGCGGGTTTGTCGACGGATAGGGACCGAAAACAACACTGGGAAAAAATCCCCTCCACGGCTGGAGACCCTTAAAGATTCCTACAGAGTCTTTGGGATTCATCGGATTCCCTTGGGAGTTCTGAGGGTTCCTCAGGATTCGTAGGATTCCTGCGGAGTCCTAAGAGAGAGCGCGCCCACAGCGCCGGAGCAAAGGGGGGGGATCCCCGCTTGGCTACCCCCCCCCTCCCTTCCACCTCCCCTGCTGGAAGCTTTCCCCCCCCTCCCCCCCTTTTTCGCCTCCCCCACCTCCCCCTCTTTCGCCGCTCCGAAGCTACCCCCCCATCCCCCCGTTTCCAAAGGGAGGGGGGGCTTAGCTACCCTCCCCCTCCCCTTGACTCCCCTCTGCCGGAAGCCAACTCAAAAGAGAGTACGGCGCCAATCCAGCGTAAAACGGAAGGAAGTCTCGGGCGGGAGCGCCGGTTTTGTCGGGGGGGGCGGTTTTCGGCGGCGAGGAGGAGCACCGCCTTGAGTAAAGAAGGGAGGAGGCCTCGAGCGGGAGCGTTGTTTTTGCTGGGGGCGGCGCCGATGAGAGAAAGACTAGCGCGCCAGTCCAAGGTGAAACGGGAGGAACTCTCGAGCGGGAGCGCTGGTTCCGTTAGGACGGCGGCTTTCGGCGGCGAGCAAGAACACCAGCCCCGAGCAAAAAAGGAGGAGGCCCCGAGCGGGGGAGCGCCGCCGTTGCCGGAGGGGCCGCCTTTTTGTCTTCGATCACACCCCCTTTGGGGGGATTCCTTCTCTTTGCGGGGGGCGGCGGGCTTAGACAGGCAGGCAAACCTGAAGGGGCGGACAATCCTTCGTGGGCGTACATGCGCCCGCCGTTGGAATTGGCGTGGGCCCTGCAAAAAGAGGAGGGGGAGAGCGAGGGAGAGTGGGAAGAAGGGAAGGGGAGGGACGAAGGAAGAGGGAAAACGCTAGGAGAGAAGGAGCGAAGAGGGGGGCGGTTGATTAGAGGCAGAGAGAGAAAGAGAGAAACTGACAAGCTTGTATGCTCGCATCGCACTTGAGCCCAACAGGGCCCACGGATAGTCAAGGAATGTCTATGCATACACGCGGCACGCAAGCATACTTCATCAGCCCTCCAAGCCGTGAGGGTGCACCAGCGGCGCACCCAGAGCTTCCCGTCTGCCTGCGTCCGCCGGGCCGCACGCAGCGAAGGCGGAACTACCCGCACAACCTGCGCGCGCCTGCTGCTGCCGTCGCCGCCGTAGCCGCGGCGCCGCTCGCCCCCGCCTCCAACTTGAGGCCCAAGTGCGCGATGGATGCACGCAGGGACTTCTCTGAGCGGCCGCCCATGGCGACGAAGCCAAGCCGGGCCAAGCACTCCCACAGCTCGCGTTGAGCCAAGTGCTTGGTGCCGAGGTCTGCCTCGTTCTCCTTGCCGGGCCTCCGGCCCAGGACCATCTTCTTCTCGGTGATGATTTGCTGGAGCCACAACGTCCCAACTTCGATGTGACGTACTCGCCCAGCACCCCGCCTGCGAGCCATGCCGCTCGCGGCGGTTGCGTCCCCCAGGAGACGCAGGGGCAACTCGCGCCCGAGGTCGCGCATCAAGTTGCCCATGCCGATGAGTGCCGAAGCGCACCGCACGAGGGAATAGTACTCGCTCTCCCCGCTGCTCTGTGCGATCACGCTCTGCGTGGCACTCGCAAAGCGTATCGTATGGCTGCCCGTCTTGATCGCGTGGCAGCTCGTGCTCTTCCGTGTCTTTGAACAGCCAGCGAAGTCTGCATCCGAGATACCGTCCACGAACGTCGGCACCTCCTGCCGCTCCATCCTCTGGACGAGTCGTGGGACTCCCAGAAGATAGCGACACAGCCTCTTGAGCATCTTCGCCCCCAGCTCGCAGGGTTCCGCCATGAAGCGGGCAATCTCCCTGCAAGCAAAGCGAATGTCAGGGCGGTCCTCGCTGAGATACTGCGCCCTCATCGTCATGCTTCTGAACAGCGTCGCCGCCTCGGCGCCCAGCGGTTTCCCGACGTCCACGTCCTTCGCCGCAGCGCCCGGCGTGCTGAGGGGCGCGCTGCGCCCCGCAGAGAGGCCGGCCTGGTGGAGCAAGAACTCCACATGCCGTGCATCCGCTTCGATCTCGATGCGCTCGGGTTCGTTTCCGGCTGCTCTGACATACTGGAACACCCGGTTGAGGCAGACGACCTCCAGGGAGTCGCCTCGCGATGGATCCGGGCCGAGAATGCCCTCCACCTTGGCCCACATGTGAGCAGATAGTGATTCGTGGAACCGGCGGACCTCTGCACGAGATCCACGTGCTCCGAAGTTATCACCGTACACGTACGCCTGGATCTGCCGCTGCTCGTGGAAGAACACTACGCCGCACCACAGGCCTGTCTTGAAACCGAGGGCCTCCATGGTCTCGCGGACGAGCAGCTCGAACGACTGTCCGGCGTCGCGGAGGCCGTACAGGCTCCGCTCAAGGAGTCCACATACGCCAGGTTCCGCCGCCTTGGGGTCCTCTGGCGGCAACACCACCCAGACTTTACGGCGCATCTTACAATAAGGATGTGCACGGGTGATGTCGATGAAGATGATGACGTAGTCTACCTCCATCTGGCTGGCGGGTGTCATCTGGCAGCTACACAGCACCCGTAACGCCTCGTAGGGCGGTGTCTGGCTGAAGCTGCTGCCGCCGCTCGTGTCGAGGTTCGTGTGATACCTCGTCTCTTTCACCACGAGCCGGCTTCGCACTTGAGGTGCGTCGGGCTGCCCCTTGTTGACGTCAACCCATCCGGTGGGTATGGGGCGCCGCCCTGTCTCCTCGATGCACCTGTCGACGGTGTCGTAGGAATACGCGCCCAGGCCGCTGAGGAAGTCCATCTCCTCACCGCGGGCCTTGGACACAAGCACTGCGTCCAACTTCACGCCAGTCGTGGCGTCGACGACGTGGCCGCACCACTCCGGGTGGATGTCCCAGGCGTCGGGTTCATCAACGTGAGCGCCCGCCTCAAATGAGAACAACACGTGCTTAGCGCGCAGCTCCTCCCTCAATCCCTTGAGGATCGCAGTCACGAGCTTGAGGGGGTAGCGTTCTTTACCCCTCCAAGTCCTGGGGTTTTCGATCAGCTGGCAGTGCCTATGCTTCCGCGCGTTGTCCGGGCAGCCTCGGTTAGTGCACCGGCTGCCGACGGCACGTGCGATGACCGCAGAATTCGTAAGCCATCTGGTAGCCTTCTGGACGAGAGCCGGCCCGCACAGATCAACAGACCCAAGGCCATAGGGGCACTGATCTCCAAGGACGGTGCGCACGCCCTCCATGCCAGCGATCTCCTGGACCATCCACAGGTCCCAACTTGCAGAAGAGGCCGAATGCTCGTGCAAGAAGAACAAGCCGTCCTTCATTTGGTCTTTGTACAGATCACAAACGAACTCAAAATGAGCGAGGCCCTCCGCAAGTTTCTGCTTCCACTCCTGGCTGTCCGGAACGAGGCCCTGCATGGCAGAAAGGGCCACGTTGGGAGGCGAGCCGACGAGCAGCGCCGGTCTCTCCCTCTGTCTGGTCTCGCGGGCCCGCTCTCGCTCGACAGCCTGGATGAAATCGTATCCGGAACGGACGTCCATGGCAGTGCCAGGCGGGAGGTCGAAAGCAGACGAGCGGCTCGTGAACCGCCCTGGCGCCCAGCCTCGTCTGCCAGCATGGCCTGCTCGATCCTGTTGCGGCAGGCTGCGCTGTGGGGGCGTGCGGCTGTGCCCGCACGCGCGGCGTCGCATCCAGCACAGCCTTCAGTGAAGCCATGCCACTGCAACTCCACGTGACGACGCATGTAACCATGCCGCCCAGATGGGGCGGGCTGCCCAGGGGCCGGCCCTGGTGGCAACGCGTCCTCGCTCACCACGGGGTCATAGATGACGGTCGGGACGACGTCCAACCCGACGCTGGGGATCGGCTGCCAGGGCGTCCCACGTATGTTCGCCAGGAGGTCCGCGCCGGCCCGCTCGGCAGCAGCGAGCCGCCGGACAGCCTTCGCCCTCTTGACGCCGTCGCGTGTGACGATGAAGAGCTCGTTGCTCCTCTCCACGATGCCCACGAACAGTCCGCTGTTCCATCGCTCCTGGATCCTACTGTCGTGCTTCCCCGTTGGCAGGTACAAGACCTCACTGAAGATCGGGAGTGCTCGCCTGTACACGCGGCCGGTGTGGCGCTGGTACGGCGTCACGCCGTCTGCACCCCGCGGTCCTCGAGTGATGACGTCTCCAGCGAAACGAACGAGCCATGGAAGGACCGGATGATTGGGTCCGATGCTGGACCCATGGAGCTCTTGAGCTGCGAATCGGAGCGTGCGAGCCGTCGCCTTCACATCGCGGACGGCGCTCTCGATCAGCCCGTTCGCCTGCGAGTCCCTCTCCGGAGTCTCCTCGAGGATGACGTCCATGTTGTGGCGTGCTCGTGCTGTCGCCACCGCCCGGCTCTTGAGGTCCACGATCGCTGGTTCACCGTCCGACCTCGCGATGAACTTGCGGTGGCCGGCAGCAACATACGCACGAAGCAGCGCAGGCACACAGGCGGGGTCGCCAATCCCTTTGCATGGGAGCACGTCCGCCGTGACAGCTCCAGGACGAGATCCGTCCTTGGTGACAAGGATCGGGGAGGGGCTCTCCCTCGGCGGACAATCTTCACGACGCTCCAGGTAGCCGCAATCGCACGCCACGACAGGTACTCCACGAGGATCACCTGGCACAGGGTGGTGCTGGTCAGCACGCCCACGTCCAGCCACGCACGCTCGGCACCAGGAGCGGTACGGCATGTGGCCCGCGCACTCGTGCGCGTCGCGCTCCGCCTGCGTAGGTTCAGCCGGGGCTCGCCGAGGTCGCAGTGCAGGCTGTTCGGCGTCCATGTCGTGAGGCTCATCTGCCGCACCTGGAACATTCGGGCTCCCCGGAAGGCTCTGGCCAGGCGCAGCTGGTGGTAGTGCAGGGTCGCCCCCAAGAGGGTGCATCTCGAGCGACTGGTCCTTCTCCAAGTTGTTCTCCTTTGGGCCCTCCACGTCGCTGGGCCCTGCCGCCCCGCGGGGCGGCTGAGTCGGAGTTGGACTTACGGCCACAGGACCTGCCCCTCGAAAGGGCGCAAATCCTGCAACTTCGCGGCCTCGTCCTGCACCTTCTTGGACTGCTGCTTCTGGTCGTCCTGCGGCACGACCTCCAGATCCAACTCCCACACCCTGTTCCTGAGCTGAAAGTTGGTTTTCTCGCCGGTCGCCTTGTGGATGGAATGGCTCCTGTCGCTGCCATTGGAGTCAAAGTCGATGACCACCATCTGTCCTGCCTTGCACATGTCGTACACGCTCAGCAAGGGCTTATTCACCTTGCATGCGCGCGCTCGCAGTCCTCGTAAACGACCGTCCGCACGACAGAGTAGACGCCGTTCACCTCGATCCCAGATATTTTCCCCGGCGGCGCTCTCGTAAGACCTGCCGGTGCTGGGCGTATTCTTGTACAGCGGGTACCCTTTGCAGTGACAATCCGGCACGGCCGTCACAGCAGCACCAGAATCGATGCCAACGCGCATCGTGCGGCCCTTTTCGGACGAGACGCCCGCGAGGCTCACGGCCGAAAGCGGCAGGAAGAGGTGTCCTAGAGATCCGCCCTGGTCGTCCACGACCTCTTCGATCGAGTGCACCTTCTTTGGTTTCTTGCACTCTTCTCGAAGGTGGCCCGTCTCACCGCAGTTCCAACACATATTCTTGGTGTTGTTCGCCTTGGACTTGTCCTTCGCGTCCTTGCCCTTGCCGCCCTTGGGTGGCGCTCCCTTGCCGGACCCTGCCCCCTTGTTGGCCGGGTTGTGCCAGCAGTCCTTCTTCCAGTGGCCTGGCTTGTCGCAGATGGGGCAATTGGTCGTTGGAGCTTTAAAGTCCCTCCCCTTGCCTCCACCTGTCTTGCCCTTGCCCTTCACCTAGAACCCCATCGCGGCCAGCTGCCTCGTCAGCTCGTCCTCCGGGACCTGCCTCAGCAGCGCCAGAGTGTCGACGTCCATCGGGCGAGCGCCATGGCTCGCAGCCTGCTGAGCCCGGCGCACTGCCTCAATCTCAGTGCGGATATTCGTCCAGGTGTCGAACCGGTCCATGTTCAAGACCAGGTGCTGCTTCAATGCTCCGTCTGGCAGCTGCCAGAGGACGATGCCAACCTTAATGGCGTCGTCGAGCAATAGGCTAGATGACAACTCGTACCGGTGGACGTCGCGCTCACACTGTTCCAACCTGGCAGTGGTGTCACCATCGAAGTTGAAGGATAAGAGGTCCAATGGTAAGCTGGCATGGCGAGCCGCACTTGACGGCTCGTGGTGCTGGCAGAGCGCCCTCCACGCCAAGAGGCCCTCAGTGGTGCCTTGATTGACCACCCGCGTGAGGGCAGAGCCACGGCACACCATCACCAGCATGTAGAACAGCTGGGTGCTGAACTGACGGTCTGCTGGAGAAAGGTGCACGTTGTCCACGCGGTATTCAGAGAGCTCCGCCGTTCTCATCAACGTCCCAAGCTGCTCGTGGCAGCATGCGGCATAGGACCGCATGACGATAGACCAATCTTTCCAATCCTTCTCTCCGTCGAACTCCCTAGGCTTGCCGATCACGCGGGTGTCCACCGCGAGGGTCGGCTGAGGGTCCCTGGACGAAGCCGCGGTCGTGGACTTCAGCTGGGCCTGCATCTCAGTCATCTGCCGCTGCATCTGCTGCATCGTTGCTGCTTGCTGTTGCAGTTGTGCGGTAAGCTGTTGGATTTGTTGTTGTAGCTGCTCCATGTTTCCTAAAGATCGTTCCAATCGATGAACAGTTTCCTAATCTTAGTCTTGGGCTCGGTCTCGGACTCGAGCTCGTTCTTGGGCTCCTGAGTGACGGCGCTACCCGCGCACTCTGGTTTGAGCTGCGTGGAGGCGGAGCTACCAGCACGTCCCACGCGCTCTGACTGTGCCTCGGGGTCGAGGCGCGCGGAGGCGGGGCTACCCGCACTTCCAGCGCCCTCAGAGCCCGATCCGGCCAGCGCGCCTCCGCGCCGTTCGACGCCACGGAGCTGGCGTCGTAGCTGGGCAGACTTGCTGCGCCTCTGCCCGCGCTTGAGCCTGCCCGACCGTGGATCGGTCTCAGCTCCGCTACCATGACAAGCTTTTATGCTCGCATCGCACTTGAGCCCAACAGGGCCCACGGATAGTCAAAGAATGTCTATGCATACACGCGGCACGCAGGCATACTTCATCAGAAAAAAAAGAGGAGAATAAAGAGGCAGAGAGAAAGGGGAAAAAGAGAGAGAGAGACAGAAAGAAAGAAAGAGGGAGGGAGGAGGCAGGAGAGGGGAGGGAGAAGGGAGGAGGGAGGAGGGAGAGGTGATAGGGCAGAGAGGCATAAGGGTGAGGGGAGAGAGGAGGGAGAGAGGAGGGAGGAGAGGAGGGAGGAGGGAGGAGGGAGAGGGAGGAGGGAGAGGGAGGAGGAGCAGGAAGGTAAGAACGTGAACGTTCGAGGAAGTCTTAGGCGAAAGCGCCATTCCTGAAGGAAGTCTCGGGCGAGAGCCCACGACGGGCGGGCGATCCCCTGACGGGCGGATCGGGCGGGTGGGACATTCAAGCGGGATGCCTGAGTATGGCGAGAGCGCGAATACTAAGTAAATTGTAACGGCGTCCTTGGCGCAGCATGTTTCCTTAGCGTCGAAAGCGCGATTTCCGAATAAATTGCATGGTGGTCACAGGCGATAGCGCAATGCCTGAATAGAATGTGAAGGGTTCTCTGGCGGAAGCGGGGGTCTTGATTAAATTGCGAGGAAATCTTGATTCAATTGCGAGGAAATATCAAGCGGGAGCGCCGTTCCTGAGTAAATTGTGAGGAAGTCTCAGATGGGAGCGGGGGTCCTGACTAAACTGTGAGGAAGTCACAGGCGGGAGCACCGACCTTGAGCAAATTCTGAGGAAGTCTCAGGAGCGGGGTCCTGCGTAAATTTGGAGGAAGTCTCAGGCGGGAGCCGTTGTTGTTGTTGTTGTTGTTGTTGTTGTTGTTGTTGTTGTTGTTGTTGTTGTTGTTGTTGTTGTTGTTGTTGTTGTTGTTGTTGTTGTTGTAATCAAGGGGGCCAGGGGCCCAGTTTGAGCACCAAGACTTTCCCTGTCAAAAAACAGGGTGCGAGCGTCGAGGGGGGAAACAACAGTATGCACCGGTGAGGGGGGATCAACAATAATTATTCTTCAGAAATTAGAATTCAACAACAACAACAACAACAACAACAACAACAACAACAACAACAACAACAACAACAACAACAACAACAACAACAACAACAACAACAACAACAACAACAACAACAACAACAACAACAACGACGACAACAACAACAACAACAACAACAACAACAACAACAACAACAACAACAACAACAACAACAACAACAACAACAACAACAACAACAACAACAGAGCAACCGAACAGAGGGGTGCAAACGACGCATGCACACACTCGAACGCCGACCACGGCGACCCGGGAAAGGCACTTTGGAGGTGCCTGCGGGCGCCTGGGGAAGGCACTTGTGCAGTGCCTGCGGGCGGCCCAGGAAAGGGACCTTGGAGGTGCCTGTGGGCAGCTCTGGAAAGGCACTTGCGAGGCGCCTGCGTGGGGCACAGGAACCCAGGAAAGGCACTTTGTGAGGTGCCTGCGGGGAGCCCAGGAAAGGCACCTCGCCTCCCCGGCGGCGTGCGCAGCGCCGCCCTCAGGGAAGGCCTCGGTGCGAGCGGGCGGCGGAGCGCACCCCGGCCGCCGCCCCCCTGGGTGCGAGCAGGCCACGGGGCCCTCCGGGCTCCCCATCTGCCCCGACCCGCTGCCGGGGGTCGAGCATCGCGCGGTCCCCCCCCCCCTGTGGACCCCACCGGTGGACGAAGAGGATCCCTCGGGCAACGCAGACGTCCCTCGCGCGACGCTTCGAGTCTGAGGCCCGCTTCCCGTCGGGGGCGGCGTCGCGCTGATGACGATCTTAGGAGGCGCGGGGCCGGCATCGCGCCTCCCCGCGGCCCTCGGCCCCTCCCCGCGGAGACCCCCGGTACTCCAGATTTCGTAATCAAAGGGAGGGGGTCTGGACCCTCCAAGACAAGCCATTTCAGACCTCCCCCCGTGGGAGAACCCTCCAAAACATCGTCCCCAGACCCCCCAGGCCCTCCAAAACAGCCTGGAAGAGACCCCCCCCCAAATGAGACCCCCCTCCCTTTATTACGAAATCTGGAGTAGGCAGAGACCCCGTCCTGAGGGGAAGATCCTGCCGGCCTGCGGGGTGCACGCGTGCGCACGTGCTGTGCGCGCAGGGGCACGCTTCGCGCGGGCGTGGCGCGCGCACGCCCTGCCCGAGCCTGTCGTCCAGGCAGGGGGCGGGGTCGACTCCCTAGAGGTCTCTTGGACCCTCCTTGTTTCGGACTTCCTCGGAATCTCTCCCGAGGCTGGAGGGCTGCTGAGGCCCCAGAGCGCGTGAGATGGCCAAAATCTACCTCCTCCTCCTGCTCCTCCTCCTCCTCCTCCTCCTCCTCCTCCTCCTCCTCCTCCTCCTCCTCCTCCTCCCCCTCCTCCTCCTCCTCCTCCTCCTCATCTCCATAATCTCCTCCTGGATCCGCGCATACACTGAGTTTTTTCAATAAGTGTGGAGGGCGGACCGCGTGGGGAGGGCAGCAGTGGGCTATCCTTCGCAGGGCGTGGGGGAGGGGATCGCGGTAGGGGGTGGTTCGGTGCGCGCTGGGAGGTCGCAACGGGCTGGCGGGCGGTGAGGCAAGGAGGGGATGCTTATTGAACAACGGGGAGCGCAGAAGGATGCTACACCTGAGGGGTAGCGAGATGGTTTGGGGAGGACAGAGTGGTTGAGGGTAGGGACGCCTGGTCGCGAAGGGGGAAGTGCGCTGTGCTCTCCGCTCTGGCTGCCACCGTGACACTGCGATGATGCTTCTCCTTCATCGGCCAAGTCTGGTCATCTGCGCCCCTGTTGTTCGGACCTCTCTACTCGTCGAGAGCGCAAGACGCTCGAAACTGGACTCTGGCTCGAAGGGGTCGGACAACTCGTCGGGAACCCTCCCTCGGGACATATTGTAGAAGACCTTCTGGAGCTTGGCCAGCGGCAGCCTTGTCGTACAAATGAGCCCTAATTTCAAGAAAGCCCGCAGAGAAACAACGAGCACCGTAAACAGCGCAACGGCTCGCCAGAAGGACCAATGGTCAGTGCACCCCTGGGAACTGTTAAGGCCGCCGAATCCATCCAGGTGAACATGTTCTGCATTGGCAGGCTGCATCAGCCACCGGCGCAACGCTTCCTCCATAGAAACTCTGGAGCTGGCCAACTTTACCTTCCAGAAGCTTTCCTCGTTTGCCAAGCAATGCGCCAGGCAGGTTGCAGAAAATGCCACGTCTTGTGCGGGCAACTGGCTGATGGTAGTACGGACAGCATCACGAAACTCACGCGCACGGATCCACGATCGAGGACTCCAGAAGAAAGCTGACCCTCGTATTCCGTTTTGACCCAGCTGGAAAGTGTCCCACGAGCTTCCCTGCACCATAAACGGTGTGCGCACGTGCGGTGCGAGTATTGGCCCAAACATGCAGAGATGCTCGGCACCTGCTGGTTGTGAGGCTGCGCAGCGAGCAAACGCGCCAGAGCCGTTCCAGGCATGAACCCCATCCTTTGCTGACTGCTCCAAAGTAGTGCCGCCATCTGGCAAGACCCACCACGCTGCATCGGACAATCCACGGCACAACGTTGCCGGGTTCCTCAGCATGCCGCACACGCGATCCAAATTATACAGTGCCCCGCGGCCACCTGCGGAACACCCGCCAAACAATAACAAGCCGGCTTCTGTGAGCCCATGGTGCGCCTCCAACTCTCGCACGACCGCACTGATTATCCGCTGGCCCTGGAAGTAGTAACCGCCGCCGAAGAGGGGCTCGTCGCGATCGCCGATCCAGGAATCCGAGCTGCAGTAGTGCACGTGAACCATCGTGGCGTTCCAAAAGAGGGGGTTCACCAACTCATCAGTGGAGAAAATGCCACTCCTCGTCTCCGTGAGCGGCCTGCCCCTGCTGGTTGTCAACCACCGCTCCCTGCTCTCGCAGCTCGCCTCGGAGTAGCATGCGAAGCCTCCCTCCAGCCACAAGACAAAACGCCTGTGATCTCCATCTCGCAGATAGTAGATGGGCGGCGAGCCGTCATTGCACGCTGCCAACCCCTCTGGCACCCGATGCAGCAGCAACGGGCGCGCGCCTGCCGACGGCACCGAGGTCTCGCCGTCGGCCGCTGCCATTGGCGGCTGCGTCGCAGCGACAACGCACGAGGCGGCAAGTGCAACCCCGTGCCGCGCAGCTCTGCACCGCTCCTGCGCGCGCATTGGCCGATGCTCTGTGGCGACACCTGACCAGGCAGAGACTCCCGTAATGCAGGCCCCAAGAATATACACCGCCACCACCTCCATTCCCCCTCCCTGCTCCACCCTCCTCTTCCCCTCCTCTTTCCTGGGAGGGGGAGGGGGTGAGTGAGGTGGTGGTGGTGGTGGTGGTGCTGTACACTTTTGGGCCCCGCACGTGAGAATATCAGGCCATGGAGCGGGATCCACCGACCCCCTTCGCAGGTGCACCTGCGCGAAGAGGCAGACAGGCTACGGACCGGAATGTGCCACGGAGCGAGCCACTGGCGCGCAGCTCTGAACAGGCGCCCAGCACCTTGCCCGTGCCCCTGCTCACGCCCCTGCCCGACGATGAGCCAGAGCGGGGGCATGGACAGAAGTCTGGCCTCTGGGGCCACGCTCCGTGTCCATGACCTGCCTCGCCCAAGAGCCCAGAGGAGGGTGGCAGCAGCACGGGCACGGACAATATATCGACAGCAGTTCCCTCTCCCCCGCCGATGCAATTTTGTTCGCGACATGTCCCTGGCTGTTCGTCCCAAGAAGCCCTCTGAGACCTTCGAGAACACTCCAAGAGCCCCAGACGCAGATTCACGACCCCCTCTCCCATTTTGGATCGATGCTCTCCTGGATCTGCCTACGAGGGCCCTAAAGGCTAAAGAGCTTCCAGGAGAGCTCCGAGAGAGCTCCATGAGAGGTCCAAGAACGTCCCAAAGGCCTCCGTACAAGGCCCCAGGAGAGCCCCAAGATAGCCACACCGGAGTACCAAGACAGCCCTTTCAGGGTTGCCTCCCCGTTGCTTCGCGCCTCAAGGGGAGCGCGCAGGTGACACAGCAGCTGCGGCTGCCACCTTTGCATCACCGTTTATCCCGACATTTCCTCGGCCGAGGCAGCTCGCCAGGGATGGCTGCTGGGCGGGCTGGTGGGGATACGCGGGGGGCAGTTCCCCACGGGGGCCAGACCACTCAGACCCGCCGAAGAGCACTGACGGCATCGCCCCCGAACGGTCATAAGCTCCCGATCGCTTCCCCTGGGGTAGTTGTTCGACCCGGGTCCGTCTCTAGAAGTTTCTGCTTGTCCTGGGGCCCGATAGCGAGCCCCCAAAGCCAAAATCAAGGAAAATCGCCTGGAGCGGCACCAAAAACACACACACACACACAAACAAACAACAAGACAACAATAAAACAAAACAACAACGATTAATAACAAAAAAAACGTCGGAGATCTGGGGCGCCAGCTGCGAAGGGGCAGGCCCCGGGGCCCGTGGGGCGCCTCCTGCAGGAGCGCCCGCAGCCGCCCCTTCTCGGCCACGTGCACCGAGCTGTCCGCGCCCAGGCCCAGGTGCTCCTGCCCGGCCCCCTCTCGGCCACACGGGGCGGGGGCAGACGGTTCGGCTACACGCAAGAGTGACCCTGGGCAAGAGTGGCCTTTGGTGCGCGACTTTTTGGGGGGCCGCGGGGGGACCAAACCTGGGCGCGCAAGCAGCTGCTGCTGATTCGTTTCCAGCCATCTGTGGGCCCATCTGCGCCCGCACCAAAGGTCACTCCGGCGAAAGGTCGCTCTTACGCCTAGTCGAACGGTGACCATCTACCACACCACCCCAGCACAGCCCGAAGGCCCGAATTTCGCCCGAGTCTCGGTTTGGGGGGGGGGGTACGGGCTCCATGTGTTTTTGTCAATGCTCCCCGACCCCCCCCCCACTGGAAAGGAAATAAGAAAATAACGGAGGGCAAGTTGAGGCCTCCGGGTTGGGTAGGGGTGGTTTGGTGGGTGGTGAGACGGGCAAGGGAAGGAGGAAAGGACGGGCACGCCTGGGCTGGATCGAATCGCGAAGTCGGATCGGATAGGAATAGGATCGGATTGTCAGCGAAAAATCCCGAATCGAATCGAAATAGGAACCGGCTGGCCCCGGCCGAAGCCGGTAGACCGAGGCAAATCGAATCGAATCGGAACCGTGGCTCCGACGGGTGGATCGAATCGCGTCGAATGGGGTCGTGTCCAGCCGCGACAGGGTGAGAGATGTGAGGATTTCCAGTTGGAATGAAGGTTGGAGGTGGAGGCGGAGGAAGGTGGAGGGTGTGGAGGGGTTGGAGATCGTTATGTCTCCGAGTAGCTGTACATTTCGCGGCAGGCTTTGCCATCCATTCAGGCTCACAGTCTGCGTCACACCTCATCTTACGATGTACCGTTAGAATCAGTTGGGCATGTCAAAGCAGATGTCAAAAAAATGTTAACCCCGAGCTTTAGTTTTATGCGATTGACTCAAATACTGACTGGACTCAGCCTTAGTATTCCATCTAACGGCTATCGGCTGGCAGTGGCCTGTGGCTTGCAGCCCTTCAAGGGTCCCAACACGGTGCGGTGGCAAACTGTGCCGTGACCTCGAAGCCCCAAGAAACCTCACCGCAAGGTCCGTCACCGTACAGTTCGTCGACCTTGGAGGCCCCGGTCGCCCGAACCATCCTCGGAAAACAACTCACGTCCCAAAACCGCGCGGCCACCCCAAAGCCCCACTGGCTCACCACACGATGTAGTCACAGCACCGTGTAGGGGCCCCCGAAGCCTCCAACCCCGCGACAACACCACAGGACGCCGCGTGGCAGCCGAGACGGGCAGGTGCAAACGGGACTCTCCAGGACACCCTGGCGCGCGCAGCGGCGCGCACTGCCCGCTGGAGGAGCAAGTGGAGGACACCCTGGCCGCCGACACGAGCGGCACAAGCGGGGGGGGCCTCTCAGACGACCCCAACGTGGAGGCGCATGGGTCGGGACGACGCCTGGCGCAGCGGTGTGGCGCGGCGCCGTAGCAGCCTGCCGTCGGGGTGGCGCAACGCACCCTTAAGCGCTGACGCGCTGCACCCCCTGATTCGGCGGCGCGCCGACGGGTGAAGTGAACGAGCTGGACGTTTCGCTCGAGACATCCTCACCATGTACGATCCTGAAGCTTGAACTTTGCAACAGCTTGAAGGATGGGGGGCGTGTGGTTTTCAACATTATGGAGGGCGGGTCAAAAGTTAGTAATTGCCATAGCGCCGCGCATATTCGCCTTGAAAGCTTGCAACAAATTTAAGGAGAGAGGGCGGGTCGTTTTCAACATGTGATTATCGTCCTAGCGACGCGCACAACTGTGCTAAAAAATTGCAACAGTTTGTAAGATGGAGGGCGGTCCTTTTCAAAGTGTTGCTCTCGCCTGAGCGCCGCGCGCATTCGTCTTACCAGCTTGCAGCAGTTTCAAGGTTTCGCAGGGTTGAAATCCAAGGAATGACATTCTGGCACGACCTAGGATTACAAAGACGCAACACTCAAGCTGATTAGCAATATTGAAGTCCCAGGAACGACATCCTGCCACGATTTAAGATTGTCAGGACGCAATAGTCATGTTGCTTCGCAGCGTGAAGTCCCAGGAATGGCGTCCTGGAACGATTGAGGATCGTCAAACCGTTGTCTTTCAAGGGGGCATTTCCCGCAATGTAAAGAACTTCTTGCAGGGACGTGTGAAGAGAGAACTTGCAGGGAGGGGTTATTTCAAGATCGCTGATGCACCTTAGGTTAACACTGGTCCTCCTCCTCCTCATCCTCCTCCTCGGCACCCGGCTCTGATGGTATCAGGGTCTGCCAAGCAGACGCTGCCACGCCCCCCCCCTCGGGAGACGCTCTCCCACTAAAGAAGACGTAAAACTGAAAAAGATATTGGGCGAAGGGGGCTCACCCCGAGGAAAAGGGCACCCCCAGCCGCGGAAGCCCTTCCCCAGGACAGGTGGCTCATACCTTACTCCTCCTCCTCATTCTCCTCCTCCTCCTCCTCCTCCTCATCCTCCTCCTCCTCCTCCTCCCTCCCTCCCTCCCTCCCTCCCTCCCTTCATCCCTCTCACTCCTCCTCCTCCTCCTCCTCCTCCTCCTCCTCCTCCTTCTCCTCCTCCTCCTCCTTCTCCTCCATTCCTTCTCCTTATAAATAGCGCTTCCCTGTCACACCCCGAGACATGTCAGTAGGGCTGGGCAGGAGTTTCGCCTGAGACTCATCATCAGCATCATCATCATCAGCATCCGCATCATCATCATCATCATCATCATCATCATCATCATCATCATCATCATCATCATCATCATCATCATCATCATCATCATCAGCATCATCATCATCATCATCACCATCATCATCATCATCAGCATCATCATCAGCAGCATCAGCATCATCATCATCATCATCATCATCATCATCATCATCATCATCATCATGAGCAGCATCACCATCGTCATCATCGTCATCATCACCACCATCATCATTATCATTATCACTATCACCATCATCATCACCACCACCATCCCGTCAGCGAGCAAAATTGTAAAGGTGGGCTCCTGTCGCCGTCTCTGGCTGCGAGCGGAGGATGCGCAGGGCCAGGAGTGGTTGATATGTACGGTTTACCTCCCCCCGGTCCCCAAGGCAGGGCCAGACAATGAGTGGTTCCTCGAGATGGACGGGCTACACGCGGACGTGGAGAAGCTTCAAGGCCCTGCCCCGCTGGGAGTCGGCGCCCGCCTGATCGTCATGGGGGACACCAACATGCAGCCAGACGAGTTGCTCGGAGCGCGAGAGGCCTCGCGTGCTCGATCCCGCCGCTGGTCACGTCTGGTCTCCACGTGGGGGCTGTCCCACCTCAATCCCTCGTCGGGACAAGGCCCTGCGGCCGGTGTGGGTCTCCCCGCCCAGGCGATACCCATCACGGAGGGGGTGGTGCACGCTGCATTGACGTCGTCATCGCCTCCCGTGCGGCCCACGGCGTCGCGCGAATCCACAATGGGCTATCCTGCCGGGGTGAGGGCGGCTGCAGCTGGGACCACTGCGTCGAGTACACGTACGGGGACCATTTCTTGATCGACTTCACCGTCCCCTTTCGGCTCCATCCTGCCTCCCTCGGGCAAGGAGCCATCCGAATGCCGCGCTGGTGGAACAAGGCGGACTCCCGGGCCGACGGGCTGACGGAGGCCCACCCAGCGCTGCAAGCGTATGCGGACATCCTGCGGCATTACTGCGGCGACGGGGAGGCAACCGCAAGCTCGTGCACGTTGGCCGCGCGCGCGGCGCAGTGGTTAGGAGATGCTGCTGCATGGCTGCTGCAACTCGTTCTTGGTCTGGTGCTTGCGGGCTGGGTGATCCCGAAGGGTTCCCCTCGCCCCCCGGGGCGCGCAGGTGCTGCAGCACTGCGAGGCAGGGTCAGGTCGGCCATAGAAGGGCCAGGAACAGCACAGGAGCGAGCA